TTAACAGAGAGAGAGGGAGGAACTACCCATGGTATATGAGTTCACGAGGCCAGTTCAGCATCCCTGTGGCCCTGCTCTAATTAAGTGGAGCCTGTCGTCAAGTTACTGACTATTTTATAATGTATCAATTTTAGGTTCTTTAGAATATTTATGATCCATGGGTTAGTAAGTGATATTTTATAGGCTAGGACTGTATATAAGGGAGATAGATACGTAAAATATACATAATGTTATTTGTTTTGATAATTTATGACAGTGAAATCTGTAGCCTTGGATATTTTTGTATAAATCTAATAATAATAATAAATGCATTACTACGTGCTGAGCACTTTCCATGAATATAGGAAGATTCTCTCTGTCTCTCTCTGGTTTTTTGACTGCATCTATTACTGTGCTATAGAAGTCTGTACAATTTTCCTTCTGGGATCTATATTTTTGTTAAACAAATGTCTCATTTAATATCTTAGCTTTCTCTCACTAAACACAGGTCAATCAATAGTCTAGAAAGGGCATCGAAGAAATAAACGAGAGTCCAATCCTGCTGCCTTTGAAACGGATGGGAGTTTTGCTGTTGATTTCAATGGGAGCAGGACTGGATCCTTTGCCATTAGCTATGGGAGAAGGTGGGGAGCGGCCATGACTTTTTCACGTCATAATCTCCATCTCCCAGCTCTGCCCTGGGAATTGATGATGCCCCCTCTCTCCTCTCCTCCATGGGCTACCCTGGCTGGGATTATTTCCCTGTGATTCACTGGGCTCATTTGTTATTCTCTCCCTTAACTCATGAGAGGGTTGAAATCCTACTAATAACATCTACTGCTCACACATCTACTGCTTCTCATCTCCTGCTCCCCCAGCCCTTCAAAAAGTTGGAGAAACTGAGGCACAGAGTGGTGTGCCACACAGTGAGTCAATGGTACTGCCATTTAGGTGTGCGATCCAGTTAGGTGTGCGATCCAGCATACCACACTGCCTCGAGTCAGGTGTGCGATCCAGCATACCACACTGCCTCGAGTCAGGTTCCTGCTTGACAGCGGAGAAAGGGAGGGAATGAGAGAGAAGGCCTGGAAAGGACACACTGTCCATCTGTCTGTCCCCTCCTTCACCCATTCCAACTGTGGGGTTTTCTGTTTTAATATTTATTTTATCTCATTCCTGACGTGAAAGATTAAAACAGAAGAGATTAAAAGATTACCAAAGTGGATGAGACGGAATGTGCTGTCTCTCTCTTCCTCTCACTGGGGTAGAAATCTAGGAAACCTCACTCTGTCTCTTTGTCTCCCCCTGCCACCTCTTTCCCCACCCTCCTCTGTTTCATCTACCATTGATCTTTGAAGATCAAAAGGACTTTTGATTTTGAAGTACGCAAGTCTGTCCGTCTGTCTTGAAGGTCACTTTCTCATCCCTGTCCAGCTGTCCCCTAAGGGGGTGATTGAAACATGGTGTGCAGGTCAACAGGCAGTTGCAGGACGGGGAGATGGGGGTGGGGAAGAGAGAGGGAGGGGAATGGGATTGATGTGGAAAGCTGCCTGCCTGGGATTGGTGGAGCCACCATAATGATATCATAGCTTCCTTTGCATAGCTGCCTCCTGTGACTCCAGCTCCACCCCTTTTCCTCTCTTCCACAGGACGCCCTCATTCCTCCCTGTAAGTCCAGGAATCTATCCCCTCCAAGGAGGCTCTGGGGCATGCCAGGGAGAGGATCAGAGGCAGCCTGTGTCTCACCCAGGGCTCCATCCCCATTCAGAGAGCAGGGTATGAAGGAGAAGCCTGGGATAGACTGAACATTGGGGCCAAACTCCTCTTTCACCCCAGCAGAGGGAGGAATGGGTGGGGTCCGACTGGGGGAGCCATGAGTGGGAAGAAGGCTGGAATGGAATGAACTGGATGTAGGATTCTCCTCTCTCTCTCCTGCAGGGCAGGTGGGAGGGGAGTGTCCCATCAGAGTGACATTCCTTAGAGCCCATAGGCAGCTCTGACATGTCTTTTAAGCAGTGGGTCTAGACTCAGATTCAGACGTAGCAGAGATCAGCTCCAATTCATTACACAGATGCTGGGGACAGAGAGCAGAATAACCCTATCTTTCGTTTGATACCAAACTGCACCTGCCTCCCCTTAGGCATATGTCACCCAGAGCCCCTCATCCTGCACAAATCCATGGCTCCGTGCAAGGTCCTGATCACTCCCTCCCAATACTGGAGGTACACAATGCTCCTGGGTACACTTCTGAAAACCTGCCCCCATCCTGCCCCTTCAGACTGGGTAGTGGGATTTATTACTCTCCTCTTGAGTGGGGTTTGCAATGGATGGAGTGGTGAGTCCGGCTGGCTCAGATTGCTAAGGGTAGTTTGCCCAATACCAGCAGTGCCATGCCCACCCCTGGGAGCTGATTTCTAGGGCAGAGAACTCTCCAACTCAACTCCCCTGTGAGCACCTGCTAGTCAGCAATCCTGTAAACCTGCCAAGGGGACGACGTTCAGTCTGCCAGCGCCAGCAACATGTCATTGGAACTGGCCTCTATGTACAGGGCTGTTAGGGCAGCAGTTGGTACTGGCACTATGTCAAATGAACCCAATCTCCAGGTTGCAGACCCAGTACTGGTATTATTAAAATAGACCCAGGCTCCATTCAGTGCAGAATAAGTCTCTGGTATAATCATCATCATCATGAATACTACTTAGCCCTATGTAGTGCTTTCCATCTCCCAAACAGTGTACACGGAGCAACTAGTTAACCATGTAAAATGGACGTGGCTTCTCTGAACAGGGCAGCTGGTGCAGAACAAGGTACCAGTGTAATGGACAACAGGCCCTTCCCTTCCCCCTCCCTCTTCTTTCCCACCTTCTGGAGTCCCTGCCCCAAGCTGTGAGGGTGGGAACCGCCGACAAAAAAAACACCCTTCTGCCAACTTTGTGTTTCTCCCTCTCTCTTTCTCTCCAGCTGCCTGCGAGGGAGGTTCAGTGAAAATAATGAACTAAAAGCCAAGGCCCAGAGAAAGCTGATTCATCCCCCGCCCAGGGCCAGCGGCCGGCTCCAAGCAGAGCTGTAAAATCAATCTGTCACTGCTCACCGCATTATAGATCAGCGGAGAGATTCTGACTGCAGCGAGAGGCTGAGCCTGGCCTCCTCATGGGTCCCTCCTTCTTTCCCAGGCAGAGCAGGAACTGCGAATGCAGCCCCCATGAGGGACAGAAACAGACGGACAGACAAAGGGAGGGAGGGGGAGAGAGAGAGAGAGATATCAGCTGGCCTGGTGATTGGAATCCCTCCCAATGTGACCCCTTCCCCTGCCACCACTCACCAAGCTCCAAAGGCAGATTACCCTGTGCATACAGCCACTTTCCTCCCCTCCCTCTTCCCACTCATGGGGTCACACCTGGATCAAGAAGTGTGTGTGTGTGTGGGGGGGGAGATAGGGTGAATGACTTCCTCCCCTCATGCTCCTTTGGGAATGGCTGCGCCCTCCCTCCCCAAACACCCTGAGGGGGCTCTATGGGGCTACTTCAACCCCCCTTCTCCAGAGTGTCATACAGATGCCTTAATGGGACCCAGACCCTACCCCCTTGTCTGTTTACTGATCTTCATGGAGGGTGAGGTTTACAAAACTGAGTGCTGAGGGCTGTCTGGAAGGCTAGGCTACTAATGGTGGTAGTGGATACAGGAGAGGAGAAGGCCTTGCTTATTGGGTGATGAACTGGGAGAGGGACTGTCTCTACAGCTGACTTAGGCAGAAAGTGTGGAAAACATTCTTAACTTGTGTAGTCTATTCAGTCATGGGATAATCCCCAGGGACATTTACAAATGGAGTGGACAAAGCCGTGAAGAATATATTGCATGGAAGAATTCTGCACTGGACCAGGGGATGGATCCGATGGGGCTTAATATATCTTGTTCATTCGTAGTCCCTTGGATTCTCAAGTCTGTGTGTGTGCACTGTGGGCAGTTTTCCTATAGTTGTTGTGGATGGGCAAGATAAAGTAGTTTTCCTGAAGCGGGAGAGAGAGAGAGAGAGAGAGAGTGTGTGTGTAAATGTGGGTTATATTCCTGGTTCTTTCACTGGCATACTGGCTTACCTTTGGAGAAGTCACTTTACTTCTCCATGCCTCAGTTTCCCCCAACTGTAAAATGGGGATAATGATACCGACCTCCTTTGCAAAGCGCTTTGCAATCTATGGATGAAAAGAACTAAGTATTATTATTATAACAAAGGAGAGAGTTTCTCTATAGTTGTTCCCTACACTTGTGCATGTGTGTGTGTTTGATAGATGGAGTAGTTATACCAACTTATTGTTCTGTTTGGACAGGCCTAGCACAATGGGCTCCTAGTCCATGACTGGGGCTCCTAGGTAATATTACAATACAAATAATAATAATTAATAATAACATCGCTCTTTCATATGCTTGTGTGGATATGTTTGATCAACAGGGTAGTTTCTCTACAGTTGCTGCATTTTTGTGTGCGATGTCAGTTGTTTCCCAGCTTCTGTGTGTGTGTGTGTG